GAGACAACCCTGCAAAAGAAATGTCATATATTAGAGACTGCCATCAAGTAAACATAATAAATCATCAAGGTTTTTTTAAACTTGTGAATACTTAATATAAAGAGCCTTGTTCTAAGAAAGAAAATGATAAAGTTTCACATTTATTATACTGATAAACTAACAGGAAAGAGGAACACTTTGTTAGATGACATGTAACCTTTATTTGGGTCCCTGTACTGGAAAATAGAACACATGTAAAACGTTCTTTATTCTAGTTACATACTACCTTAATATAAGAGATGCACTTCGCCAAGTTATAAATGAATCTTCTGGCTTACGTAAGATGTAGGCATTTCTTGTATATCCAGTATTACAATAATGCCATATTTGGATTATTTTTTCAATGTTTAATTCATTTTTAGCAGATCTGAAATTTACCATTGCTTTTCCAGAATAGTTATGAATCATAGTTTTCGACATAAAATGATCAAGAAGAAAAGTATAAAAAGGTCAGTAAAATTCCACTGTATGAAACAGTAAGAAAAGTAAAACCTGTTCTCTTTACATGTACCTGAGTAGACTATATCCTACGAAATTAATCTGTGACATGTAGCTTCAAACAAGTAAAAAGACTCCCCACCCCTTAGCAACACAGACTACCACTGGGGGGGAACGTCAAAGGAGGAAGAAAAGTAACGCAGTGTCTATGGAGTCTGGCCCTCCGTTAGCACCTTCACATAACTTAACCCACACAAGAGCTCTCAGGTGAATGCTCTCACATTTTCATAGTTGGAAACATTTAAGTTACAGGGGTAAACAGCGGGCCAAGTATCATCATGGAGAGGAGGCAGAGTAGGGCCTCAAGCCTCTGAGCTCCAAAGCGTAGGTGCTTCTCTCCACTTTGAAATGTTCATTCTTGAGGTCTGGTGCATAAAAACAGCAAAAATGAGAATGCTGGGAACATCATATACTTTTTCAGCACGTTACTACTGAACTGCTCTCGGACAACTGCAACATTTCGCTCTGCCTTTGAGACTGGGAGTCTACTGCACAACCATCAAGGCTGGCTCTTTCATAAGCTGCTCATATTTAATTTGAATCACGTGCCTTTTGATAGTAAAATGAATCAAAGGTGTCAACCACACCCCCAAAATGCATGGCCAGGTAAGCATGGAAGTATGAAAAAAAAAATGCTCTCCTTTCTCAAAGACCTCTTCTAATGTCTGATTTGGAAACAAATCTGAAACCAAAGGCATCAAAAACAGTTCCGTTTTCTTCCTCCTTTCATTAGTTAGTACTTTAGTCCAGAAGCTCCTGAGGTCAGGGGTCTGCGCCCAAAAGGATGCCTAGGGTGCACACGGCGCCGTCCTGGAGAGGGGCTCACACCACGAGGAGAGGGACGCCAGCCAAGCGAAGGGGAGTCAAACCCTGGAGGGGTCCGTGTGAGGGAGGCACACTGAACAGGCAGCGGCCCGGGGAGGGCGGCAAAGTGGTTTCACACAGCAGGCCGGAGCACGTGGGCTCATAGGTGAGAAGTGACAGCAGGCAGGTTGCTCACTGTCAGAAGAGGGAGTGAGAACCATGAAAAGGCAGAAAGCCAGAACGAACCTTATGGTGCTGGGCTGAAATCAGAGCTATTAGTGTGAATTCACAGCTGCAGATATTTGGAGATCAAAACAGAGAAAGGTGTGGACAGAAACGTTAGTAAGCCCAGGGTAAGGACAGTTGTGCCTGGGGGAGGCACGGTGGGGGTGGAGAGAGACCCCGTCTGAGGCAGAGGCTCACAGGAAATGCCCAGAGTGGAGGGCGGAGCCAGCACGCTAAGGAGACCTTCCGGGCCTGGGCCCACTCTAGAAACAGGGGAATGTTAGAAGAATCTGAAGCTACTGGCACACTGTGGTTCATCTCAGCAATGAAACATCAACATCTGGTTCAATCCCAAACTAAACTGACCGAACTCCGACACCAATGGCACAGGCACGCTGCTCCAGGTGTGAATGTCATTAACCTCGGTCTACTGTCCTATATGTGGTATCTGTCATTCAATCAAAAAATTAGGAAATACCTTATGAAAGCAAGAAAAAATAACCCGCTTTCTGGAGACAAAGCAAGTGACAAACCAAGCTTGGTGAGAATAAAACAACCTGAGCATTTAAAACGACTATGATGACCACGTTAAAAGACCTAGTTGGGGGATACGGTAGCAAGCATGAAGACAATGAGGGCCTGTAGCAGGGAAATAGAAATTATAAGTCAAATGAAATGCTGTAAATAAGTTGTTTTTCAATGTTTGTTTACATTTGAGAGAGACCACGTGACGGGGGAGGGGCAGAGAGAGAGAGAAACAGAATATGAAGTAGGCTCCAGGCTCAGAACTGTCAGTCAGCACAGAGCCTGGCACAAGGCTCGAACCCATGAACCGTGAGATTATGCCCTGAGCCAAAGTCGGATGCTTAACCGGCTGAGCCACCCAGGGTACCCCTCTAGAAATAATTTTTTAAAACGCAAAGTAACAGAGATGCAGAAAGCCTTCAAGAAGCTAAAAGTAGATTCAAAGGAGCTGAGAAAAAAAAATTCAGTGAACTTGAAGACAGGTCTATAAAAACTACCCACACTGAACACAAGGGATAAAAAAGCAGTGGGTGGGGTAAAAAAAGGGCACCGATTTCGAGAGTTGAGACAATTTCAAAGAGTCTAATGTATGTGTAACTGGAATTCCAGAAGAGACAGAAAAAATATTTTGAAAGACAATGAATAAGATATCACACCATACAGCTAAGAAGCTCAGAGAACCTCACGCAAGATAAAGAAGTCCTACCCGCCCCTCCAAAAAAAGAAAAGGAAAATCACTCAGATTCTTCATACAAAATAAAATATGAACAGATTAACTTCAAGGCAGCCAAAGCAGAGGAAAGACACATTATACATATAGAGGAACAAAGAATTAAAGCAGACCTCTCATCACAAAGTGTGCGAACTCGAAAAGCTAATGAAGTGACATCTTTAGAGTGTTGAAGGGAAAAACAGTCAAGCCAAATTCCATACACAAAAAAAATATCTTTCAAAACTGAAGAAGAAATAAAGACTTCCTAACCAACAGAAACTGGCAGACATCACAACCAGGAGATGTACACTGTGAAAAAAGTTAAAGGAATCTCTCCACACAAAAGGAATATATACCAGACAGAAACCTGAACCTACAGAGAAATAAAGGCTGACAAAAATGACTGAAAGATAAAAAAGTATATTTTTTTATTAGGCAGAATAAAAAGAAAAGAGGAATGAGGAACAGATGGGACAAACAGGACACAACTAACAAGGTGGTAGATTTTGATGCAACTGTATTCATAGTTACACTGAATGTACATGGTGTAAACAGAGAAATTAAAAACAGACTGTCAAAGCTTTCTACAGGAAAATCAACTTTAAACATAAAAGCATATACGGTAAAAGATACACCAGGCAAGCATTATAGTAAAAAGAGCCAGAGTGACTGTATCAGTGTCAACGAACTAGACTTAAGAACAGAGAATGTGACCAAGGATAAAGAGAAAAATCATAAAACAATAAAAGGATCTACCAAGAAGATATAACGATCGTAAAGTAGCACATACCTAACAATAAGCCTCCAAATACATAAAGTAAAAACCGGCAGGACTGAAAGGAGAAACAGGCAAACCCGTAATTCTATTTGGAGGTTTCAACACTCCTCACCTAGCACTTGACAGACCAAGTAGACATAAAATTAGTAAAATTGGCCATATTCTAACCCATATTCACTGCCTACAAAAATTAAACTAGAGGTTAGCGTCCAACTCTTTTTTTTTTATGTTTGGTTCCCCCCCCCGCCCCGAGAGAGAGAGAGAGAGAGAGAGAGAGAGAGAGAGAGCGTGAGCAGGGGAGGGTCAGAGAGAGAGGGAGATAACAGAATCTGAAACAGGCTCCAGGCTCTGAGATAGCTATCAGCACAGAGCCCGACGAGGGGCTCGAACCCATAAACCGTGAGATCATGACCTGAGCCGAAGTCGGACGCTTAACCGACTGAGCCACCCAGGCGCCCCTGTCCAACTCTTGATCTTAGCTCAGGTCCCAATCTCAGGGTTCTGAGTTTAAGCCCCACATTGAACTGTGAGTGACGCTTACTATACCTCACAGCCTATACAGAAATTAACTCAAAATGAATTATAGATTAAAAGTTAACAGTAAAACCCTAATACTATTAGAAGAAAACGTAAGAGAAAATCTTCCTGACCTTCGATTAGGCAAATATTTCTTAAATACCAACAACAAAGAAATCCCTCTTTACAACACATAAAAGATGAATTTTTCTTAAATTTACAGAGAGCTCTTGCAATCATGTAGACTAACAAACCAATTCAATATGTACGTTTCTCAGGAAACTAAACAGAAATGACTTACAAGCTCTTCCTTTGGTTTCTCATTCTCCCACCGTCCCACCCCATCCCTGGAATCTCCCACACCCTCTCTGCCATCACAGCAGGTCACAAGTCTAGCTCTGTGCAGCGCGTACGAGACTTCCAGAAAGGAGAGTTCAGAGTTGTTCCTGTGTTTGTTGTTTTTGTAAATTTATGGCAAAAAACTGCATTCGATTTCCAATCAGGCAGTTTTAATAATTAAGTTTTGGTCTTGGGGGATCCACATCCATGCGTCCTTATCCATTCCTTATTCTGATCTTATTAATTCCCCCCTGCTCCCCGTTTCGCCCGTGAGATTAACTGCGGTGGCAAAACCCTGGAGAAGGACTACTCCTGCAGGGGAGAGGTGGTGTACACAGACACAGCACCTGTGGCTTTGTTCGTTTTACTGAGATTCTCAAAATGGCGAAATCATTATTCCCAAGGCCAGTTCTACCTGAGCCAGCCAGTTCTCCCAGCAAACTTTTACATGTGTTCAGTATCAGTCAATTAAGCAAATCAATCAGCCGGTAGGGGAATCTTTCACTTGATTAGAATCCATTCAGAGCCCATCCCCCCAAACAACGTATGACTGGAGTGGCTCACCTCTTCTCCCGAAAGGTAATATGCTGCAAGCAGGCCTCCAATAAATCGAATGTTGACTTCAAACACAGACACCTCCGAATTCTGTGAAAGCATATTGAAAATATTCACATACACATTAAAGCTTTAGAGTTTCCAAATATTTTCAATACTTGATATGTTTCTCACAAACACCCTGCGAAGAACGTCTTTTCCACTTGCCACATCTTTATTTCTCATGAAACTGCGACCTCACCTCGTTTATTAATGTTACTAAAACTCCTCTATTGTTGTCCCCACAGCTTCCTATGGGCCAAAAACATCCGTGTGTACCTGACATGTCACTGGAAACTATCAAGATATTTGATGCTCTTGACTATTCTCTTCTCAAGAAAGCCTCCACTTCTTGAATTCTGGAAGAGTGGTCTCTCTACTGGCCCCTTCCCCCTGTTCTAATCGCTAGAGCATACTGCCCATTTTTCCTTATATTTCTCATGAATTTTAACTATTTTTTCCTAGTATATATAAAAATTTAATAAACTTTAATAGAGGAACCAAAAAATGATAGGATGATGGATTATTCAATTAATAATGTTGAAAAAACTGATTCCAAGGTTAGAAATTTGGAAACTCATTTCAGAGATCTCTCTCTCTCTCAAAACGAAACCCAAATAATTTAGAAACAAATGTAGAAAAAATTATAATAAAAAGTAGAAGAAAATGTGACAACATAAATTTCCTTGGCAAAGGAGGTACTCTGTGGCATAAAACCAACTGTCCTGATAACAAATAGAATGACTTGAATTTCCCCAAAATGAAAATTACCTGGAAGAAAAAAATTATGAACAAAATTAAAGGCAAACAAAAAAACAGAAAGAAACTTGGCACAAATACAGCAGTATTAATAACCTTACCATATAAATTTACATCTTTGGATTTAGATACAGACACAGATGAAAAAAATTCTAATTACATGGAAAGAAAAGTAGAAGGGGGCAGAGAACATGGCCAAAGAAGGCATACTATATACACAACTAATATAAAGGTAATATTCAAGGGGTGCCTGAGGGGCTCAGTTGGCTTAGGGTCTGCCTCCTAATTTCAGCTCAGGTCATGATCTCACAGTTCATGGGTTGAAGCCCAGTTGGGCTCTGAACTGACAGTGTGGAGCCCTGCTTGGGATTTTCTCTCTCCTTCTCTCTCTGCCCCTCCACCGCTTGTGTGTATGAATGTACTCTCCCTCTGTCTCTCTCTCTCTCTCAAAATAAATAAATAAATAAAAATGTTCATAACTAATTTTTAATAAACCTTAAAAGAAAATATTTATTATCCTAAGGCCTTTCCAACATTTATAGGCAGAACACGTAATTTGCTAACACAAGTATGTATCTCCAAAATAGAATTTTCACAATGGAATTTTTTAGTAATATAAATCTCCGCCCACCCCATCCACAAAAGCAAAATGCTTTACATTACTTCATATAATCCCAATTTATAGTATACTGCAGGGCACACAGCGGACATTCAATAAATACAGAGAAGAAGGGAAAGAGGAAGGAAGGGCAGACTTCTATCACTCACCAAAACAATAAGCTTTGTAACCTGTTTCCTTGATTTCAGCTTTACCTTCCTCCTTACAAGTCAACCTCTTACATTTTAAGTCAAGTCAGGTTACTGCTGTGGGTAAACCCTTACAATGACTTCTGGTTACACTTGGAGTAAAAGAACTGGTAAGACCCAACATAACCAGATTCCCCACTCCCCATCTGACATCATCTCCTATCAATGTCTCTGACTTTTATTACCAAACGGTTCTACTTGCTGTTCTAGAATTGCCAAACTCAGTCTTTACACTTTACTTACAGGCCTCCAAATAGGGAGTTTTTCTAACCACACAATACAAAATAACAAAGTACACCTTCATCACTCATATCTCTTAACCTCCATTATTTCCCCAATTAACACTTATCAACATCTAATTACGTATCATTCTGTATTTGTAAAATTCAGACCTTCCTCACAAGAGACACAGAAGATAAGAGAAGTTCTAGAGGGAGAGAAGGGAGAGAATAAAAGACAGGCATTATTCAAAGGAGTCATGACTGCGAATCTTCCAAAAGTGATAGAAACATAAGTCCTCAGACTGACGGAACATTACGAGTCCTTTAAAGAATAATCCACACACGGACACATGGTAATGCAATTACAGAACACAGACAAACAGAGAAGATGAAAACAAGGGGAAAAAGACAGATTATCTGTGAAAAATTAGACTGACAGCATACTTTCCAATCGTATAACAGAAACAGGAAGACAAGGGAATTGTACCCTTCAATGGTTAAGAGAAAATAACCGACACTAAGCTATTTTCTACCCTCCACTATAGTATCTATTATGAGAGCCTTAGACCCACATGATTTCCACGGAGTCTCTTCTCAGAAATGCCACCAAAGTGTCCTTCACTAGCCGTCCCATGGAAACAGCAACCCCACACCACTACTTACCCCAATCCTACTTGCTCTCCTTTATTGTTCTCCACAGCACTTATCACCACCTGACTTAAATATTTATTTACTGTTTTCTCCCATAACTAGAGTACAAACTCAAGCAGAAATAAGACTCTGTTTTGCTCATTACTATATTCACAGAAGCCAGAACAGTGCCTGTCTCAAAGGAGGCATTTAATGAATGAATGACTCATTTATTCCTTCATTTGTCAGAAGTCCATCTATTCCTTATTTTGGAAGTTTCAAACACAAGTTGGAACCAGCCAGACAACAATTACACATAAGACAAGAGGGAGATGAGCTAAAGTGAAGCATTCTAAGATCTTATGGTCTGCAGAAGGAAGATGAAGAAACTGATTCATTTTAAACTTTGATAAGCAGACATATAAAAATTTAAGGATAGCCCCAAAATGACGGAAATGACAAATAAAATGTCAAAGTAGTAGAGGCACAAAGAGACAAGAAGTAATTTAATCTAAAATGAGGAACACAGAAAATAAAAACATTGAGAAGCACAAGCACAGCACAGGTTGAAAAACATAGATGGAAGACCCAGCTCCAAATACATGTTATCACAATAAATATCGATATTCCAAACTTGACAGCTGAAAGACCCCAAGACTAGATAAAAATAACAAAATTCAAATACATACTACATGCAAAATCTACAGCTAAAACACAGGACACAGAAAGGTTAAAAGTAAGGGGATGATAAATGACTATGCTAATTATTAAGCTCTTTCTCCTTAGGTTCAAATTCATCCCTTCCACACTCTACACTTGTATCCTGGAACTGGAACTCTGCGAACATACATCTCGTTAGCCAGCTGGCTCCTTATGGGCCACGCCAACGGGAGGTTTTACAGAGATAATACAAGGCTGGAGGACGGAGAAAGGACTTATTCATTCCAATTTGCTCTAGTTTCTGACGGCGTCAACCAACCAATGGTCCTTCACTCTGGCCGTGGCCGCTGGTTCCAGATTCCAGGTCCTCCCACTCACTGTGGCCCTTAGGAACAGCAAGCACTAGCTAGGTACCTTCTCCTTAGAGGTCTGAGTCCCTGCTCTAAGAAAAAAAGTCCTTTTAAGAGTGTCTAAAGTACCAGAAACAGAGTCCCAAATTCCTGAATTTTAATAGTTCCAACTTCACCCCACTGTTCTCAGAGCCCCACAGAGGAAGCTGTTTACTGCAGTTCCTACCTCTTGTGATACCACAATGTTCTCTTTCTGCCTTTTCAGTTTTCTGTTACCTGGTTAACAGCTGTACACATTAAATCCTCTAATGAAAATAAATGTCATGGCCCTGGCTCCTGACTGAGCCAACTGATACAATGACATACCAGTGGATTATCAGGCCTAATACAGTTGCCACGTTAATGGACAGAGGTATTTGAGACCCTACAGATGCCAATTCTCTCCAAATGAATCTGTAAATGGAACACAATCCTCATCAAAATGTCAGCAGTACTCCAGAGCTTACAAGAACAAGGAGCGGAGAAGTGCTAATAAGATGATTTCCTAGTAGAACAAGATCAGGTACCAAACTTCCTATGAAAATATCATAGTTAAGACAGTTGAGTATTGATGTAATAAGCATGAAGAAAAAAGCCAAAAGAATAGGCTCCTGGGACCCATGTGGCACGTACAAACAGCAGGGAAACGTATGGGACGAGATCAACTGACCGCTGCCGATCCGGCTCACCCTACATACAAAATCAATTTCATGTGGATTAAAGACCTAAATGCAAAAGCCCGACTTTAAAACGTTTAGAATAAAACACAAGAATATATCCTCATGACCTTGGCGTTGGGATTTTCTTAAACAAGATGCACATCCTATAAGGACCACAAGGCAAAATGGGGCAAGAAAAGACTAAGCTTTGCAACCTCCCCTTTACATTAAGGTTGGGCCCTATGGGTCAGACCTACTCAAAAGTATACAAGCAAAATCAGGGTAACCTATTCCTGGAACGTGGTCTCACAGAAGAGTCACATTATCTTTGCTCTTTTCTGCAACTGGAAGGCTGATCCATCTTACCCAGAAACCCTCTTGTACCACGAGGCTGAAGCTACATGCTGGAGCTGAAAGAGCAATAAGGATCTATCTCAGCCGTCCCCTAACCTGCTGGTGTCTGTGCCTAATTTACATGAAAGGGAAATACATGTCGATCTTACGTAAGCTATTTTATATTAGATTTTCTGCCACTCACAGACAAACTTAAACCCAAATGACAACTGATGCATGTCCAAAATGCTAGAATCATACAAAAGAAAGTAATCCATATATCTGTGTGGTTAGCATCATGAAAGCATGACAGAAGAAATATTTAGGGGTTTAAATCACAATCTGAATGACACAGGGTCTACCAAGGGGGTGGGGGGGAACATAGTAGAAGAGTGACTTCCGACTACAGCACAAGCATAAATATCAGGAAAGGTGATAATGAACAGAAAGAACAAAGCAGTCCATACAGCTTGTGCGTGAATACTGGTAATAATGAAAATAACTGCTACCATCTATTGAGTACTTAATGTGTACCTGATTATCTCAAATAATCCTCACAATATTGCATTGCAGTAGCAATTTTATGACACATTCAGAAAGAATAAGGAACGTTCCCAAGTCACATAGTGAGGCTGTAGCTGCGGTGAGCTTCAAACTTCAGCCTTATCACTTCACCTTCCAGCCAAAATGCTGGACGGATGGACATAGGCCTAGTCATGAAGGCTCGTTAAACCTATACTGAACGACTGAATCTTTTAAAAATAACAAAATGCTTATTGTTTATAATGCATTCCTGGTATTTCTAGTTCAATGTGGAATTTTTTTTTTTTTGGTATCTATTGCTTAACACACTGAATAAGGTCAAGAAAAGTGAAAGGAAGATGATGAGAAAGGGCACGTATCTGATGCAAAAGTTAAATAACAACTCTAATCCCAGAAGAGGACAGGGAATTTAGGATTTCCTTAAACTGCTAGTAAAATGCTCAAAACTACTATGTTTATTAGACACGGTCTTTGCAGAATTGATCAAAGAAGTCATCAATTATATACTCACCACACTGAAATCAAGGTTGTTTTCAATCCATTTTTGCCCATCTCGGAATTCGTCATGAAGTCCCATGATATAAAGGGTATCCAAAGCATCTACTATGGTAGCACCCATTTGTGAACTTCCTACATTGGGGGGAGGGGAAACTGTCATTAAAAACACTTCATATAAGGTCTGTTTTAATTTTTTAATATATAAAAATCAAAGCAGGAATATAAGGGCCAAAAAGAATACCCAACACGGATCACTTTTCCCTAAAAATAAATAAAACACACCGTTTAATATATATTCCTAAAGATGACATGTTGACAACTAATAGGAAGGTAAAGGAAACTAAAATTATAATTCTCCTTCATTTTCTTCCTGGTCACAGCAGGAGATATCTACCTACTTAGCAGAGATGAGTTTTTAAAAAAGGATTAACTCAGGAAATAGGGAGGATGGTTCAAAATGACAAGCTAAGTCATAAGAACCATGCTCTTCTGATACAAATTCATAAAAGGGGCAAAAAAATACTTAGAAATATTAATAAAAGCACAATAAGGCTAAAAGACCATAGTAAAACAGAAACTATAATAATCCTTAACAATCAAAAAGCAGGTTAATCATATTGAAAAAGAAAGTAAGTAGTAAACTAAATCTAAGTAGAAGAAAATTAAAATAATCTACCCGTCTTCAAAAGAGAGAAATCCAAGGTAAAGGAAAAAATTCAGGGAGGGAGAAACAAATTCAACAAAACTAGCTGATACCAAAACTAGACACTGTAAACATGTGACAAGAAACTAGGTCACTCTTAGTAATGAGTATAACTGCAAAAGTCTTGAATTCAATCTAAAACAAATCTAATAGCACAGTAAAAACAAAACAAAACCAAAAAAACCCCACATAAATAACAGCAGATGAGTCCTCAATTATTTCTGTCTTCGGAGAATGAAAATCATCCATACTCATTACTATCTACATTAAAATGGCTTCATTATTATACTGGCTTCATCAACATGAGTTTACTGCTTACCTTTGCCAGAAAGATAAAAGTTGCAAAATTATTTTACTGTTCATTCTAGGAACTTCCTGAAAGACCCATCAACACTTAAAGTATCAAAGGATGGTTTATATCCCAAAATTCCTTACCTCCAATTCTCTGCTTATCAATCCAAAACTATTGTATTACCATCCTTACTTAATCATAACCAAGTATACACTCCTACCCCAACTGAAGGGCCCATCTTAACCCAGACTTATAATCTCAATAAATATCTCAACTTTGTCCACTGACAGGCTACTAAGGCTCTGGTTAGGTAGTGATCTACTTTTCCAGAGTAAACATTAAACTCAGCTGCATCTTATCAACAAGTTATCTTGGTGGTATTTTAGGATTCAGTAATTGTCATTACTTACTTATTATTCTTTCTTTTCCTTCTATTCTCTTCCATTCCTTTTACCATTGGGTAAATAGCATTTTCTTCTGATGCTTTCAGGTTATACAAATTTGTTCTTATAATGTCCTTAACTTACAGCACATCTTCTTCATGTGATTCTAATAATTTCTACAACTTATCAGTAAGTATTATCTGACTGCTAACAAGACAAGTACTCGATCATACTCTGGTAAGTTCCTGGGTCTTCTCCCCATTTAGCTCTCTTTATGTTGACATTAACTAGAATGCTTGTTCTGGCTGATTACATACCTTCCTTTTACTTTTCCTTGTTCCTCAGCTTTTTATTAGGATAATAAATATTTTATCAAGCCATTTAATCACCATATACCCCTATTTCATCCACAATCACTTAAATATGTATCTTTTTATATTAGTATTTCATCCAAAATATTTATCATGCTTATTTTAAATCCTTAAGAGTACCTATTTTTGTTATTTCAATTTTTATAGGTAGTTAAAAAGCTATAGGTAGTTAGCTTCAGTTTTCTAGTTATTTATGGAGTCCTGGAAGTGCACATTCCTCTAAGGTGCTGACTAGTCTGGAAAAGAAAAAGCCCTGACCCACCTGTTCTGCACCAATTCTGGTTAGTTCCACGAAAAAAGGTTTGTGCCATGGGCTAAACAGACCAAGGAAGAGAAAGGCAAAATTGGAGTTCCTGGTTATCACTATGATTGTTTACCTAGATAACTCAAGATTTCAACTGGAAAAGTTAAAAAAAAAATCTAAAACTACCCTTGGGTCAAAGAAGAAGTGAAACACAACATTGCAGAATGTATAAAACATTAATAAATTTTATGGTGAGAACACAGGATTCAACTAATGAAGCTGTCAGAAAAACTCTTAACTTAAAAACTGTATCCTATTTAATAAGAAACATAACTGAATTCACAATACTTTACTAAGGAAGAAAAAGAATGATAAATCTGAGCAAAAAGTAAAAGACTCAGAAAAGTTAAAGGCAAAAATTAACAAATTAGAAACAAAGAAAATTGTCAAAAATATAAATTCAAAAGATAGTTTTATTAAAAGAACTATACAATGAATCTATCACTAAACAAATTCTAAAAAGTAGTCAGGGAATATAAAAGTACAAAATAAAACTGGATCAGGGCACCTGGGTGGCTCGGTCGGTTAAGTGTCTGGCTTCAGCTCACGTCATGATCTCACAGTTTGTGAGTTCGAGCCCCGCGTCGGGCTCTGTACTGACAGCTCAGAGCCTGGAGCCTGCTTCAGATTCTGTGTCTCCCTCTCTGCTTCTCCCCTACTCATACTCTGTCTTCTCTTCTCTCTCAAAACTAAATAAACGTTTAAAAAAATGGATCAACGCACAGATACAGAGGAAATTAAGTATAAAAAGCCCATTTTAGTCACCCCATACCAATAAATTTGAGAAAAAAAAAAGGAGTGGAACTAATGATTTTCTAAGAATATGTTTAATACATATAGTAATGCATATTATATAAAATACATTTTTATATATAATTCAATCTTATGAAATAAACATAAAATCTAAACAAGCAAAACAGACCAAGAAACAGAGGAATTTGTGAAGTTCTCAAAGAGCTAGCCATTATAAAAACATCACACTCTGGAAGTTCCAGAGAATAGATTCTACCTTAATTTTAAGCATCGTAACTCCTACATAAACTTTTATAGAACACAGAAGAGCGTTTAAATTCAATTAATGGATTCTGCAGACCACGGGTGCAAAAATCTCACTTAGTAAGAACACTAAAACTACTATCTGATCCCATCTGTGAGCATCATGGCCACATCTGGGAGTAAAACTGAGAGCTGTGGGGTGATCTGGGTTGAACTCTACAGGAGACTGACAAAGAGGCTTCCGGAAGATACCACTTTATCCACCCAGCACCAGTGGAGGAGACTTCTAGTTGTTTCACCATCCTTGTCAGTATTTGGTATTGTTGGTTTTTTAAATTTTATGCATTCTAACATGAATGTATAGGATATTTATTATGTTGTGGTTTGAATTTTAATTTCTCTGACAACTGATGTGCTTATTTACTATTCATAAACTTTCTTTGGTATATAAATTATTTATATATTCTAAGTACATCTGCGTGTGTTTGTGTGTGTGTGTGAGACAAACACTTTCTCCAAGTCTTGCAGCTTACCGACCTTCTCGTTTCCTTAATGTCTTTGAGAGAGCAGAAATTTTGACGAAGTCCAATCTCCCCTTTTATGGTTTATACTTTTTGTATTCTAAAACCTCTTTTCTTACCTCAAAGTCACAAAGATTTTCTCCAATGCTTTCTACTGAAAGCTTTAGACTTTTTGCTTTGATGTTTAGATCTATGATCCATTTCAAGTTAATTCTTATGTACGATGAAGAATCGAGGTCTGTTATTTTTCTATGCAAATATGTAGCTGATCCAGCATGATTTATTGGAAAGACTATCCTTGTACTTGCTGAATTACCTGAGCGCTTTGCTGAAAATCAATTAACCATATACATGCAGTTCTAGTTCTCTTCTTTTCCACTGATCTCTGTCTGTTCTTACACTAAAACTGTACAGCCTTCATTACTGTGCTGTACAGTACTTCTTAAAATAAGGTAATATAAAACCTTCAACTTTGTTCATCCTTTTAAAAAACTATTCTCACCATTGTGCATGCTTTGCATTTTTATACAGATTTTATAGCCAGACTATGAATTTATACAAGAAGTCATTTTGATTGGGACATCTCAACAATACTGAGTATTCCAATTCATGAACATGGCATCTCTCTCCATTTATTTAAGTCCTTTTAAATTTCTCTCAATAATCACAGCTTTAAGGGTTTAGATTTTATACATATTTTGTTAAATTCACCTATGTGCAGTTCATATTTTTTGATGCTGTTGCAAATGATACTATTTTTAAATTGTATTTTGACTATTTATTATTAGTATACAGAAATGCAGTTTACTGGGGTGCCTAGGTGGCTCAGATGGTGAAGCATCCAACTCTTGATTTCAGCTCAGGTCATGATCTTGCAGTTCATGAGTCTGAACCCCACATCAGGCTCTGTGCTAGCCAGTGCAGAGCCTGCTCGGGATTCTCTCTCTCCCTTTCTGCCCCTCCCCTACTTGCACTCTCCCCCTCTGAAAAGAAACCTAAAAAACTGTTTTTTAAATACAATTTATTTTGTATATTAAACTTGTATCCTCTGACCTTACTAATTATATTCAATCTGGTACTTTATTGTTGTTTTTCAGTAGATACCTTAGGACCTTCTTCATGGATAATCATGTTGACCACAAGTAAAGGCAATTTTACTTCTTCATTTCCAAACTTTATACTTTCGTCTTTTCCTTGCTTTAGTGTACTGGGTACTGCCTCAACTACAAAGTTACACAGAAGTGAGAGAGGTCCATCCTTGCCTAATTCATAATCTCGGGGGAAAACATCTAGTCTTTCAACATTAAACATGTGGCAAATTTTTTCCATTTGTTTCATTTTGGGGGTATCTGTGGGTTTTAACGCCTTTAATCAGGTTGAAGAAGTTCCTTCTAACCAAGTCTGCTGAGAGTTTTTATCATGGATTGATCTTGAGTATTGTTATCATATGGTTCCTCTCTTTAATATTTTTATTTTTTTGAAATATTTTTTGAAAATATTTCCTTTAATATTTTCAATTGCAATGACTAACTTATGAATATTAAATCAACCACGCAATAGTC